GCAAGATAGCAAATACTCACTTATAGTATTAAAGATGAAGGGAATGAAAACAACAAAAACAAAGACAATCTTGTCATTTTAACCACAAACTCGCAACACAAGATGGAATAGGATGTGAGAAAAACAACATAGGAGGGGAACAAGAAAGGGACTGAATTGGTTTAGTCTATTGAAATAAGAGGCCATCAGAAAAGGGACTATCTTATCTGTGAGACTTTGAATATAAACCTCATGGTAACCTCTAAACAAAAAAGCAGAACAGAGACACAAATAATAAAGAAGGAGAAAACAAAGAAACAACATAAAAAACTACATAACTCAACTGGTAGACCAAAATACATGGGATGAGAAACAAGGGAAATGCGGGAGGACCGGAAAATGAATGAAAAAATGATGGCATTAAGCCCTGATATAGCGATAATCACCCTAAACATAAATGGATTGAATTCTCCGATAAAAACACAGACTTGCGAGATGGATTAAAGAACAAGACCCAACAATATGCTGCCTCCAGGAAACACATCTCAGCTCCAATGACAAACACAGGCTCAGACTGAAGGGATGGAAGATGATAATCTAAGCTAATGGAAAACAAAAGAAGGCAGGTGTCACAATACTTATATCAGAAAAAGTAGACTTCAAGATAAGGCAGGTAAAGGAGAGACAAAGAGGGGCAGTATATAATGATCAAAGGGGCATTCCATCAAGAAGAAATAACACTTGTAAATATCTATGCACCCAACACAGGAGCACCAAAGCACATAAAGCAACTATTAATAAACCTAAAAGAAGATATTAATAATAACACAATAATAGTAGGGGACCTCAACACTCCAATCCCATCAATGGATAGATCATCCAAAAAGAAATTCAACAAGGAAACAGTGGAATTAAATGAAAAGCTAAACCAGTTGTACTTAATAGACATACATAAAACACTCCATCCAAAAACACCAGAATACACATTCTTCTCAAGTGCACATGGGACATCCTCAAGGATAGACCATATGTTGGGAAACAAGGCAAGCCTCAATAAATCTAAAAAGATTGAAATAATAGCACACATCTTTTCCAATCACAATGCTAGAAATTAATTACAAGAAAAAAGCTGAGAAAGGGACAAAGATGTGAAGACTAAACAACATGCTATTGAACAAGCACTGGATCATTGGAGAAATTAAAGGAGAAATAAAAAAATATCCAGAGACAACTGAAAATAAAAACATGCCATACCAACTCATATGGGATATAGCAAAAGGCGTATTAAGAGGGAAATTCATCGCAATACAGGCTCACCTTAACAAACAAAAAAAAACCCAAATAGGCAATCTCAAACTACACCTAAGTGAATTCGAAAAAGAACAGCAAACAAAGCCCAAAGTCAGCAGAAGGAGAAAGATAATAAAAATCAGAGCCGAAATAAATGCTATTGAAACAAAAAAGGCAGTAGAAAGGACCAATGAACGAAAGAGCTGGTTCTTTGAGAAGATAAATAAAATTGTCAAACCCTTAGCCAGACTTACAAAGAAAGAAAGAGGGAAAGCTCAGAATAATAAAATTAGAAACGAAAGAGGAGAAATAACAACGGATGCCACAGAAATACAACGGATTATATGAGAACACTACAAAAAACTATATGCCAACAAAATGGACAATCTAGAGGAAATGGATAAATTCTTAGACTCTTACAACCCCCCAAAGCTGAACCAAGAAGAAATACAGAATCTGAATAGACCAATTACAAGGAAAGAGATTGAAACAGTAATCAAAAGCATACCAAAGAATAAAAGCCCAAGACCAGATGGCTTCCCTGGGGAATTCTACCAAACTTTCAGAGAGGATTTAACACCTATCCTTCTCAAGCTATTCCAAAAAATAAGGGAAGATGGAACACTTCTTAACACATTCTATGAGGACAACATCACTCTGATATCAAAGCCTGACAAGGACAACACAGAAAAGGAAAACTACAGGTCAATATTACTGAAGAACACAGACACAAAATTCCTCAACAAAATATTGGCAACCCAAATACAGCAATACATCAAAAAGATCATACATCAGGGCTGGCCCTGTGGCCAAGAGATTAAGTTTGTGTGCTCTGCTGCAGCAGCCCAGGGTTTTGCTGGTTCAGATCATGGGTGCAGACATGGCACCACTCATCAGGCCATGCTGAGGCAGTGTCCCACATGCCACAATTAGAAGGACTCACAACTAAAATATACCACCATGAACTGGGGGGATTTGGGGAGAAAAAGCAGAAAAAATAAAGAAAAGAAAAAGATTGGCAACAGTTGTTAGTTCAGGTGCCAATCTAAGAAAAAGAGCATACGTCATGATCAAGTGAGATTTATACCAGGGACACAGGGGTGGCTCAACATCAGCAAATCAATCAACGTGATACACCACATTAACAAAATGAGGAATAAAAACCACATGATCATCTCAATAGATGCAGAGAAAGCATTTGACAAGATCCAATAGCCATTTATGATAAACACTCTTAACAAAATGGGGATAGAAGGAAATTATTTCAACATAGTAAAGGCCATATATGACAAACCCACAGCCAACATCATACTCAATGGACAAAAACTGAACACCATCCCTCTGAGAACAGGAACAAGACAAGTGTGCCCACTATCACCACTCTTATTCAACACAGTACTGGAGGTTTGGCCCAGAGCAATTAGGCAAGAAAAAGGAATCCAAATAGGGAGTGAAGAAGCGAAACTCTCACTGTTTGCAGACAACATGATCTTTTATATATAGAAAACCCTAAAGAATCCATCAGAAAACTATTAGAAATAATTAATAACTAGTGTAAAGTGGTGGGGTACAAAATCAACTTACAAAAATCAGTCGCATTTCTGTGCTCTAAGAACAAACTTACAGAAAGAGAACTCAAGAATATAATTCCATTTACAATTGCAACAAAAAGAATAAAGTACCTAAGAATAAATTTAACTAAGGAGGTGAAGGACTTATACAATGAAAACTACAAGGCATTATTGAAAGAAATAGATAATGACATAAAGAGATGCAAAGAGATTTCATGCACATGGATTGGAAGAATAAATATAGCTAAAATCTCCATACTACCAAAGCAATCTACAGATTCAATGCAATTCCAATCAGAATCTCAGTGACATTCTTCACAGAAATAGAATAAAGAATCCTAAAATTCATATAGGGCATCTAAAGACCCCCAAATTGCTAAAGCAATACTGAGAAAAAAGAACAAAGCTGGAGGCATCACAATCCCTGACTTCAAAATGTACTACAAGGCCATAGTGATCAAAACAGCATGGTACTGGTACAAAAACAGACACATAGATCAATGGAACAGAACTGAAAACCCAGAAATAAAATTGCACATCTATGGACAGCTAATCTTCGACAAAGATGCCAAGAATGTACAATGGAGAAAAGATATTCTCTTCAATAAACGGTGTTGGGAAAACTGGACAGCCACAAGCAAAAGAATGAAAGTAGACCATTACCTCACAAAAATAAACTCAAAATGATCAAAGACTTGAAGATAAGTCCTGAAACCATAAAACTCCTGGAAGATAATATAGGTAGTACACTCTTTAACATGGAACTTATAGGATCTTTTCAAATACCATGTCTTCACAGACAAGGGAAACAAAAGAAAAAAATAACAAGTTGGACTTCATCAGGCTAAAGAGCTTCTGCAAGGCAAAAGAAACTAGGATCAAAACAATAAAACAACCCACCAATTGGCAGAAAATATTTGCAAATCATATATCCAATAAGGGGTTAATCTCCATAATATATAAGGAACTCACACATCTGAACAACAAAAAAACAAACAGCCTGATCAACAAATGGGCAGAGGATATGAGCAGACATTTTTCCAAAGAAGATATATAGATAGCCAAAAAGCACATGAAAAGATGTTCAACATCACTAATCAACAGGGAAACGCAAATCAAAACTACACTAAGATACCACTTTATGCCAGTTAAAATGGCTATAATCTCTATGACTAAAAGTAACAAATGTTGGAGAGGGTATGGAGAAAAGGGAACCCTCATATACCGCTGGTGGGAATGCAAACTGGTGCAGCCACTATGGAAAACAGTATGGAGATTCCTCAAACAATTAAAAATAGAATTAGTGTATGACCCAGCTCTCTGACTACTGCATATCTACACAAACAACTTAAAATCAACAATCCAAAGTAACATATATACCCCTATGTTCACTGCAGCACCATTCACAATAGACAAGACATGGAAACAATCCAAGTGGCCATTGACTGATGATTAGGTAAAGAAGACGTAGTGTGTATGTGTACATATATATACATGTATATATATATATACACATTGGAATACTACTCAGCCATAAAAAAGTCAAAATCATCCCATTTGCAACAACCTGGATAGACCTGGAGGGAATTATGCTAAGCAAAACAAGACAGACTGAGAAAGAAAAACACCAGCTGATTTCATGCATGTGAAATATAAACAAACACATAGACAAAGAAAACAGTTAAGTGATTACCAGGGGAAGGGGGTGAGGGGTGGGCACAAGGGGGTAAAGGGGATCACTCACGTGGTGATAGTCAAGAAATAATGTACAACTAAAATCTCCCATTGATGTAAACTATTAGGAACTCAAAAAAAAAAAAAAAAAAAATACACAGTGTGGAAACCAGTGAAGATGGAGGCAGAAATAGAAGTGAAGCAGCTGCAAGACAAGGAGTGCCAAGGATTTCCGGCAGCCACTGAAAGCTAGAAGAGGCAAGGAAGGATCCTCCCTTAGAACCTCCCGAGAGAACACGGCTCTGCCCACAGCTTGTGCCTTAGTCAGTTCCGGCTGCTCTATCAAAATCCCAAACACTGGGTGGCTTGTTGTTGTGATTTTTCTTAAATTAACATTTGTTAATTAGGGTCGCGGAGTGTCAGACGGTGAGCCATGGTTCAACAAAGACCACAAGGGAAAGTAAAACAAGGAAGGTTATTACTCACAGGTCCTGGAGGAGGTATCTCGAGGAGCCACACAGGGAGGTCAAGGCAGGGTGCAGGCAGAGTATGAGCAGCAGGATCTGGGACATACGCTTTTATTAGAGTCCAAGGGTAGAATGTTTTGGGGTTCCCAGGCTAAGGCTGGATTGGTCGCTTCAAACCAGAAAGAGCAGAGCTTTGGTAAGTTGCGTGGGGGTCTTACCTAAGGCACAAGCCAGGAGAAGGAGCTGGGAATCAGGGGAGACTATTTATTACCAGGGGCTTATCAGGAAATTAGACTCACCTGTGACTCTGCAGGCTGTTCTTTAAGGCATGCGCTCTAGGGAGGGGCTACGCAGTTCAAGGCCCCTGGAGGCTACGTAACCACACAAAATGGATGCTGAGGCAACAATATGGAGCAGTTTAGCTAAACTTTCAACATTAAAAACAACAGAAACTTATTTCTCGTAGTTCTGGAGCCTGGAAGCCCAAAATCAGGGTGCTAGCACGGTCAGGTTCTGGTGTAAACCCTCTCCTGGGTTGAAGCCTGCTGACTTCACATTGTATCCTCTCACGGAGAGGAGGGTCCCCATGGTTCTTCCAACAGCACTAACACCATTCATGCGGCTCCACCCATGACCTCATCTGACCGGAATTACCTTCCAGAGGAAATAATACCATCGCTTTAGATGGCAGAGTTTCAACATGTGAATTCTGGGGGGACATGAACCTCAGAACATACCACCTTGATTTTAGACTTCTGTCCTCCAAAACTGTAAGAGAAGAAATTTATGTTGTTTAAGCCACCAATTGTGTGGTAATTTTTACAGTGGCCACAGGAAACTAACACAGACTCCAACGAGGCCTTCAGTGAGTGGTTTAGAATATCAGCAATTAATGGGCATGAGAAATCCTCTCAGGTCTCTTGGTCAGTATAAAGCTAAGTGAGAATGGCAAGCATTCCTGAAATTCTTATGTAATATATATTAATTCAAATGTAAATTAATACTTCAACTACACATCATATATATATCTGTAAATATATATTTATATAGTATATCTAAAAGTTATGCTTATATTTCTTCTAGATTAAGAACAGTTATATATATATATAAAAGTAGACCAAAAAATCATTCAATACCTTTAGAAATGAAGATTTCTCAGCCAGATCCCACAATTTAATTCACAGCTTGGGGCTGACAGAACAGAAATCTGCATATTTCCAACCACCCCAGGAAGTTCTGCTACTGATAGGCGATCCACAATCCACCAGAGACTAAGAACTTAAAGCGCTTCTGATAAGGTCGGTTGATTTACAAATATAAATACGATTTCTCACACATACCACAAATGCAAAAATGATAGAATTAATCAAATATGACATTATTTTCTAGGGGTCTATCCACAAGGGAAAATTGGTGAGAAGAAAAATCAGAAACTCAGGCTTAAGTTCCAGATCGGTAAAAATTTCCACTCTTTTTTTGTTGGCTGGGCAAGTTCACATCCTAGCGTAAGTATTGTTCTGACTAATTACTGCTGTCTATGTCAGGGGGAATGCTGGCTGTAAAGCAGCAGGAAAGCGCACTCCCCTCCCTTTCCCTGGAGTTAACAAAAATCCTTGAAGGCAAAGACTTAGGAATTCAACTGAAAATAGCAAACAAATTTGAAGATCAAATGGCTTGTTTTTCTGGGAAATAAATCAATAAAAGCATAATTTTCTTCATTTTGTTTGTTCTTGGACTATTTAAAAAAGAATCAATGATTTTAAAGTAATAAACCAACTCATAGTCACAAATGCCATTGAAAACAAGCTCTTTAAATTGGCTTTAATTCCAATCCATTCAAAAAAAGCATGATTCTCTGCCACCTTATTTTATTTTTGAAAAAATTCTTGTTACATTTTCCAACAGCTCTAGTAAGCCAGCCAACATCTCACTGATATCTAGTGTATATTTTGGAATTTAAAGCATGAAGTCAGCAGTGACTTGCCATGAGGTTAAGGAAAATAAGTTATTTCAGATTAAGACTCTAATTAGATAAAAATCATTAAGAAAATAAGTAATTTGGTAATGTCAGCTAAATTTACAAAAGCTCATATTCATGTTTAAGTCAAAGGTTGTGTGTACAATGGCAAGCTAAAATGAAAAATTGAGTCAATTATTTAGATAATTCAAGTCTAAAATTGCTGCTATTTGGGAAGAGAATATTTAGTTAATGGGGTCATGATTTATGTAAATAAACTATCAACATTGACCAATTAACAATCTTTACCATTTCACTTGAAATATCAACACACTATCTTAACGATTTTCATGGGAATAGGTTACAAGAAATCCTCCATGTTAAGTGAAAACCACAAAGGATTTCATAAATCAAGCAAAGTAAAACTAAATAGCTCACCACATACCTTCTCTTTGTCCCTAATAAGATAAAAGAAAACAAGATGCAAAAAGAATTATATTGAATTCTGAATATGTATCCGTAATTGTACCTATTTTTTTTTCACCCTGAAAGTACTCCTCCTTTTTCTATGCATTTCTTAAAGTAAGTTTTAAAGCTTATAATAAAGGGTAGTTTTTCCACACAACTTCTTTTTCAAAAGGAATCTTAAAATTAAAAAACTGAGCTTGTAAAACAAATATTACCATATTTTGCTCCTTTTGTTTCTCTCAATGTTTGCCTCTTTTCTTTATTGATCACCTCTTTCCAAAATTGGGGTAAGGCTAATAAATGTTTACTAATGATACTTTATGGATGTGTGTTGACACTAAAATCACCATAACCAGATATTTGCATTTAATTTATTTTAATATATAGCTACTGGAGTGGCTAATACCTCACTGTCAGGAAAGAAAAAGTTTCCTCTACCCTTCTAGGTTTTTCTGGCTGGTCTAAGACTTAAGTTGACATGAGATAGATTAACAAGAGAAAACTCCAACAAAAGTTTAGTACCTTGTATACCTCCTGTATACATGAGAGATACCCAGAAAAACTGAGAAACTTACCAAAATAGCCGATGCCACCACCTTAAATACCATCTTCAGCTACAGACCAAAGAAGTTGTTGCAGGTGGAGGGAGTCAATTACGTGAGGTTCCCAGGAAAAGCACAGTAAACAAGGATGAAGTTATTATTTAAGTCATCACCTCCTCCATTGATAAGACTTTCTAGAGATAAGGTAAGCCCCGTCTTCCTGGTACAGTGAGAGAGTCAGCCTTACAAAAGTGATTTCCTTTACAAATGTAAATATTTTTTACAAAGGGTAACTTCTACTTGGTTTCCAGAGCTTCTCAAATGTCTGCTGTTTCTTAAAAATAACCAGCCTCAAATAATCCTTATGCCAAAACATATATTTTGGGGTGACGAATTCTCCTCCCCTACATCCATAGCACTGTGATAAGAAAACGTCCTTGCATTATCTTCAAAGTTTCATAGCTTCAGTTAGCTTCATACCTATTGTATGACATAAGTACTCTAACTTTTCAGATTAGATTATTGGAGCTTAGAAAGATTAGATAGCTCTCTCATTGGTCAGATAGCTGGTGATGTTACAGCTCAGATTTAAACTCTGATATGATCATGTTCATGGTTGTTATTGCTAATTGTTGAATGAAAAACATTTTAAATAACAAGCTAAATAAGAAGCTACAAAAAAAAAAAGTGTGGGGGTGTGTCTAACAGGAGGGTGGCTAGCTGTATCCTGAAGTCCTATTGAGCCTAAAGTACTAGCTTCAGGTTGAAACTCATTTAATTCTTTAAATATATTAGGGCTGTGGTTCGCAAACTTATTTACATTAGAATTACCTGGGAAGTTTAAATAAAATGCAGTGTTTTGAAAAAGAAATGGATTTAAAAGCTACCATTTAAAGACCCATGACTTAATATGATCTGCTTCCTACTGTTTCAGGGCTAAAGACTTGCATGATGTGGGCCTTACCTACCCCATTTGCTTCATCTCATCCTCTCATCCTGCAGGCTCCAACCAAACTGGACTTTCAGTATTTCTCAAACAGGTTAAGATCATTCTTAGAGCTTCTAACTTTGTCATGTTTTCCTGAAGTGCTGTTCTCCCTGATCTTTGCATGACTGCCTCCTTGTTACCCAAGAAAAACACAGGTTCATTTACCCACTGCACAGTAGGACTAATAACTGAAATGTCAGGCTTGTGGCAAGGAAAGAAGTTTACTATCAAAAGGCAGCCAGATGAGGAGATGGGAGTTAGAACGCAGATCCACCCCAGGGTTTTAGGTAGGAGAGGAGGAGCATGTGCTGGGGTTTTAGGTAGGGGAGGGGGAGTGCATGCTGGGGTTTTAGGTAGAGGAGGGAGAGGAGCCTGTGTTGGAGTTTTAGGAAGGGGAGGGGAAGCATGTGGTCTTGCTGGTTGGTGCCTTCCCACCAGCCTACGTTTGACCTTGAAGACTGAATTTCTTTTCCCTTGACTGTCTGGACTTCTCTGGTTGGTTTTCATCTTCAGCCTGCATGTGGTCTTGTGAGGCTGAATCTTAATGTCTTGACCTTGACTTCCTGGGAAAGACAGCTCATGCATACACTAAAGAGGGACAGAAAGACCTGGTTAGTTTTAAACAACAGTTGATTATGCTGAATATGCACAGCTGTAGTTAGCATAGCTTATCTCAAAGTTTTTTTTTTCTCTTTTCCTAGCCCAGGGAAGGATTTTTTTTTTTTTAACTTCTTCATTCTCAGTTTCATCCTAATCCAGTCTGTTACCCTTTGTGAAAGATGACATAAGTGAAGCCATATTAAAATAGAGCCAGAACAGCCATTTCAGAGGAACTGCCTTTCACATCTTGTTTATTTTTATCTTCCAAACTGGACCAAACCACCAACATTCCAAGAGGTCAGTAAGGACAAGAATATCCCGTTTGTAAGGACTGATGGAATTGGCCTTTGCTGATGACCAGGTGGATAACCAATCAATGGAGCACAAGTCTAGCCTTTTGCCTGATGACCTAATCTCCCGCCAATCTGTGAAGTACAAACCCAGCCTTACCTCATTTGGCACCAATGAACTCTTCTTTAATACAACTCACCTCGTCCTCCCTTTTTCCCACAAAAGCTTTAAGCCTCTCTCCTGTAATCAGGACACTATTTGAGTTTCTACCAGATTCTGTGCTCCCTGAATTGCAATTCTTTGATCCCAAATAAACACTTTGCCTCTTAAACTGGTTTCTGTTTTTGCAGGTTGACACTGTCCTCATCTCCCTATCCCTGTCCCCTTCTTCCCATTGCTCCTTTCCATTTCCTCCTCCCCACCCTCATCGTAGTGCCCTTACCACTCCTCTCCCTCTCCTGTGTTGCTCCATCTTCTCTTTCTCCTCCTTTTCTCTCCTCCTCACTGTTTTCTTTCTAACTCTGCTCCTTCTGGCTTCTTTTCGTACAGCCTCCCTTCCTACTCCTGGATCTTCTTCTCTAGCATATTCCAATTTTTAACAAAATGATGAAATGGCCAGCTAAAAAGAGTAATTTCTGAGCTCTTCCCAAAAAGTTATCTGAAAGTATAAAGGCACATTTTTCAGAAGCTGGTTTATATACCAGCAGATATGTTTGGCACATGTAAATTGAAAATTTTGTATCT